AATAGATGAATCAATTGCGGCGGTAAAGGCTGTGACATTTCGCTTTGGTGGCCTTATTGTGCATTCCTTAAGAATATGTCCATGCTTTTTGCAGTAGTTGCAGAATTTTTTTGGGCAATTGGAAGCATAATGTCCAAATTGCTTGCAACAAAAACATTGAACAGCACTCATGTCATGACTTCTTGACTTCCCTCGTGCCACATATGCCATTGGAACAGTAGATGATTTTTGATCTGCAATGATGGACTGTGTATGGAGGCGTTGTTCTTCACGTAACAGATCATTGAAACACGCATCCAAAGATGGTATAGGGTCACGATGCATGAGATTGGACCGAATACCTTCAAAGTCAGATCTCAATTTCATAAGAAATTGATCTCGTTTAGTCGTTTCATAAATAGTTTGTACTGAACTTAGACCATCAGAAGTTAAGTCTGCATAAACTATATCAGTGTACTCAGCCCAAAGATTCATGAATTGAGAGTAAAAATCAGAGATGGAGAGACTATCCTGTTGAAAGGAAGCTATGTCGTGCTCAAGCTGGAATCGTCGTGCAGTGTTCTTTTGACTGTAGACTTTTTTTAAGTAATTCCACATTTTGGCTGCTGTCTTGTAAGGACGAAGATTCAAAACAATGTTGGGGTCAACGGAACTAAGGACCCAGGCCATGACCTGAGCATCTTTGACTACCCACTTGGCATGTTCAACCTTATCTTTGTCTTTGTCAGGGATTGGAGTGTTGCCATCAACATGACCCCACAAATCTTTTCCTGTAACGAATATCTCAAAATGGAATGACCAAGCTGAGTAGTTTTTGCCGTTAAGGCGAACTAACAGGACATCGTGCTTTTCGATAGACATGGAACTAGAGTAATCTGGACTGGGAAGCAAATGACCGAGAAATAGAAGTGAAAAAAAAAACCGAGAACGTAGGCGAGGTTCTTGGATCGTAACCTAAGCTGATACCATGTCAAATTAAGAAAATATTTGGCCAAGAACTGTGTGTCCTTCTCATTCAGATTGCTCATATAAATACAGTAATATTACAAGCTGTAACGTTGATTTCAGCCCAATAAATTAGCTAAACTACCATATATACATTTATAGCTAATTATGTTAAATAAAAGAATAACCGTTACAAATAATTGTGCAATCAATCCCATACAATTCTATTTTCCATTAATTCCCATTAATTCCGTTGACATCCCGATGCATCACACTCGACTACAAATTCTTCAGTGAATTTCGGAAGTGCCAATACAGGAACTGTAGTTAATCTTTGTTTCAACTCATCAAAAGCAAATTGTGCTTTATCAGTCCAGTGAAATCCGTCTTTCCTTGTAAGCTCCGTGAGTGGCTTAGCTATCAGCCCATAATTTTTAATAAATTTACGATAATATCCTGTCAATCCCAAGAAACCCCTGACACCCTTCACATTTGTAGGTATTGGCCATTTTACAACAGTTTCCACTTTCGAAGGATCCACTGACACTCCTTCCTCGGAAATCAGATGCCCCAGGTACTCCACCTTCCTCTGTGCGAATTGACACTTCTTCTTGTTGGCAAATAGTTGCTGTTTTTCCAGAACTTCCAGTACCTTTGTCAAATGCTGCACATGATCCTTCCAGCTCGTGCTATATACTAAAATATCATCGAAAAATACAAGCACGAACCTCCTCATGAACTCACGGAAGATGTCATTCATTAAAGCCTGAAAAGTTGATGGCGCATTCATTAATCCGAAAGCCATCACCAAATATTCATAATGGCCCTCGTGTGTGCGGAATGCAGTCTTTGAAATATCTTCTTCGCGCATTCTGACTTGGTGATATCCGGATTTTAGATCTAACTTTGAAAAGAAGGTAGCTCCACTCAACTCATCAAGGAGTTCTTCTATCACCGGAATGGGGAATTTGTCAGGTACTGTGACTTTGTTTAGAGCTCTATAGTCCACACACATTCTCCATGAAGTGTCTTTCTTCCTCACCAAAATTACGGGGCTTGAATAGGGGCTGTTGCTTCTCCTTATCCACCCATTTTCTAGCATTTCACGCACTTGTTTCTCAATTTCATCTTTCTGGTGGTGTGGGTAACGGTATGGACGAACATTTACCGGCCCTTGTCCTGGCAGTAAAGTGATTGCATGAGCGTTGGACCTCTTGAGAGGCAGGCCCTTTGGTTCTTGAAAGACTACCTTGAATCTTCCAAGCAAAGCTTCCAACTCTCTCTGTAAGTTATCAGGCAACTCTTCTCCCGTTTCTGATTTTTCTTCCACCATTTGTACCAAGGTCTCAAGGAAAAATGGGGATCTTTCACGTTGCTTCGCTCCCAGCAACAACACCTCGCGACCATCTCTGTTAAAATGAATGCTCTATTTGAGCCAATCCACCAACATCTCTCCAAGTGATGCTAACCAAGACACGCCCAATACTATGTCTATATCGGATAAATCAAAAAGATAGGCATCAATCAGATATACCTCATTCTCGATCTGCATCGGCAGATTCTGACATACCCCTTGCGTGACTACTTTATGTCCATCACCCATTAGGATTCGCAGGTCTTGGGTCTTCTCTACTTTCCATCCCATAGCGTCAACAAGCTTTTTAGAGATGAAATTGTGAGTTGCCCCACTATCCACCAGCATGCACAAAGGAATTTCATGAATTGAACCCGCGATCTTCAAGGTTTTTGGATTCTCCCGTTTGCCCTCTTCTAGACTTTGCAAGCAAAGAGTACTGCACTCTCCGTCAAACACGTTTTCAGCGTCAGGGTTTGGTGACTCATCCACGCCTCCGTCACTTTCATCCTCATCATCTATCATCATAACTTTCAATTGTTTATCAGGACATTTGTGCATAGAATGATACGGGCCCCCACATTTGAAACACAAGCCTTTTTGGCGCCTCTCTAAGACTTGTTGGTATGACAGATGCTTCACTCCCCTGTCTCTAGGCCCATATTTGTTTTGCTCTATCACTCCATCATGGAAATTGGGCCTAGCATTAACACCCCCCTTAACAGGCCCATTTCCTTGCCCAAACCCTTTTTCTTGACCTACCAAATTGCGGGTTTGATGAATCGGGTTAGACCTTATTGTCCAAGTTGTACCCGATCCCGATCCGGCCCTGAAATCCCTTCTTCCAAATGCGTTCGTCATCTTCTCCTTGTTACGTAGCTCTGATTCTACAGAGCGAGCTATATTCAGCAACCGCCCGCGAGAAAGCGGACCCACTGCCAACAGACTACGCACACGACCTCGAATTTCATCCTTCAACCCGCGTAGGAAAAAAGCTTCATAGTGCTCATCTGGGATTTTCTCCATTTGCGCTATTAAATACTCAAAACTGGAGATGTACTCATCTACGCTTCCTGTCTGAAACAACGACGTAATCTGTTCGCACACACTCCCTTCACCAAAGCCACCATATCTTTCGATCAAAGCCCTCTTTAGACCCTCCCAAGACAGGTCTTCTTCCTCATTAATCAGCGCGTTAAAAAAATGGATGGTTCCCCCCTCCATACAAAGTTGCGCCAGATTTACCCGAACGGAATCGCTCGTCTCTTGGACACGAAAATATACCTCTGCCCGAGATATCCACCCAGCAGGATCCTCTCCATTGAACATCGGAAGTTCGATTTTCTTTACGGATTGACGAAATTCCATCAACGCGTTGCCATCAAGCTTGTGCAGAATGGAGTTCTGTGTCTTGCTCCACGGTGTTTTTGGGTCACCGGAATTATCTCCCTCTTCCTCCGAAAACTTCTTTGACCCTTCGTCTGCACCCTTTTCCTTCTCAGAATTCTTGGTCAAAAGGAAAAGGATTTTGGATTGATTTTCTGCATTCTCACGTCTCATAACCTCCATAGCTATACGACTCTGTTCTGTTTTGATTTTTAAAGTTTCCACCGCTTCACGCACCAAAGCTAATTCACGCTCTACCTCCTCTACTCGGTCATCCATGTCTACCGATGTCGCTGATCCTCCTTTCTTCGAATTTTCCCCTTTCCTGTTGTTTGTCATTTCCCGGCGTATTAGAATCCGGCAGGTCGGACCATTGTTAAAAATCAGAATAGAAAACACAAAACAGCAGCAACAAATGAAAGAAGAAAAATATTGGAAGATTGTATTTAATTACTGAAACAAGAAGAAATGCAAGGAGAGACTCTCTCCCTACCCTCAGAGCCTAGCTCCGTTGAAGAACCTTAGAGGCTCTCCATTCTTACAAATTGGCTAACTGCAAAAGATACCCCTCTAAACAAATCATTCTCCCATATAACAAACGATTCTCTCTCTTTTGGCATAACTAACTAGCCAGCTCACCCTCTTTTCCACCCACATATCCCGTGCCTCTCTTTTTCTTTCTCACATAAACTGCCCATTGATTTGGGCCAGGTCCACTATCTTGCACTAGCAGCTCATTAGGCCCAAATGCACGTTGGTCTCTAACATCAAGTTTCTTAACAACTTATATGATGAAGATATCAGAAAAAAGAACATCAACTATTAACAATGATAGTTAATTATTGAGAATCTAATACCTATAAATTAGGTTATTCAATTATAGCTTTGAATGTTTTCTTTGTTGAAGGCAAAACACAAAGTGTTGTTTCTATTGCTTTTTCCTATTTCTTACAGGTATTTTTGAAGGGGAGTTTCCTAGGATTGTTTTGAGGCAGTTGTGGTGGTTCCTTATGCTATTATCTCGTGTTTAAAGTTTTGTAGGGGGGATTTTCTTTCAGCTTTGTGGTTTCTTTTGAAGGATACCTTATCTTCCTTGTATTTTCTTTTGTATCCAATAATATTTCTTTTTTCTATACAAAAAAGAACAAGTCTTCGTAGATCCAAGTAGATGTTAGGTGGCAATTTTATGTTTTTTTTTAAAGCAGTATGATTGTTACTTTCAATTAAATTTCATGTCTTGTTATCCTACTATCATTTTTACTTGATCCATTGTGCATTTTTTCTCATCCATTTTCTTTTTCTGAAAATCGAATAGCTAATTGATAAAGCAAGAGATTATTTTGGTCTATCTGATCTGGAGAAAACAACAGAAGATGGTGGCATTTTAAAGGTTCATATTGGTGATGTCTTCATTCCCTCAGAAGATTTGCAAAGAAGATATGCTGGTGAGTCATTCACATTGTATGTTGCCTGATTTACTTCTAATTCTGTATTAGTTGTATAATATCCGTGCCTGGATAAAATATTTTCTACTACCTCTAGTGTCCTCTTAGTATCATGTTTATGTTTCCATCCACATGTGAAGAAATTAATAAAATAGTGGAGCACAATTCAGTTGAAACATCTATGCAGCAATTTATGGTTGAATCGGTCATGTGGATGCATCATTATTTCATGTTGTAGCAATATACCATTTAGATATAACTTTTTCCTCAATTATTTGAAGTGGATATTATTCTGTCACTGTTAATCAACTTATATTTAAATACTTGTCAGGTATTGTAGTTGATTTGTTCTCTGATGGAAAAGTTTTGCCCCAACTTCAAGAGGTATGTAGTTGTTTTTCTACAAATAAATTTGCATGTGCTAGTTGATTGTGAAGTTTTTCTTGGCCAGATGACAATTTCTATTTTTATTATAGAAGTGTCAAATTCAAGTTTGTACCAATCAAAAACAAAAAAATGAATTTGCCTTTTCTTCAATGTTTTACTTACTAGTGCCATTATCTTATTTATAAGCCAAAATCTTTAAGAGATACTTAAGCGTATAGTTGAGGTCATTCATTTACATGGTGTAGTAATGTGATTTAATGAAATTTGGATTATCATGTCAGTCTTTCACATGACCATGTGCAAGGTCTCACAAAGTCTGTCTTCATATGACATGATCATGTGGAAAACTATTAAGTAGATCCAAATCCAAGGTTAATGTGAATGTCTTAACCATATCTAGGAATAATGCACAGTGCAAGTCTATAGATAGTTACCAGAAAATATAGTTGATATTATGGAAAAGTGGAAACAGTAAACTAAAGATTGATGGTGTTCAAAGACAATATACTTCTTCAACTACAATGGAAGTTACAAAAATCCCAAGCTTGCTTTGCCTCTTGTGAAAAGACAAAAAATAAGGAATGTAAATTTCTGATAATCTTAAAAGAAAATGATTTTTTGTTGTCCTGATGATAAATGCCTATTTTACTCTAGATTTTTTATGTTCTTTGTTGTTCGAATTGCACAAAAGACTCTGATATTAGTTTCTAATAGTTGCAATCTTTATCAAAATTCAGTATCTCACAAACTGTATATTAGTGCTTCACTCTTATTCAAAATCCAGTTATATTTTCTTATTATTTCTCTAGTTTCAGCATTCGTCTTCTACAACTTGTATAAACTTCAGATGAAATTTTTTGATGGACAGATGAATGTGAAATCCAGAAATTATTCCTTGAAATGTTCCAATGAACGGTGTTTTTGGATTGATGTGTTCTTGATTGATTGTGTGTGAGAAAATTCCAACAATGATCTGCTTAATTGATTAACTTTCTCTTTTACTTGAGAAATTTAAGTGATAAAAAATTTTACTTTTAACGCTCAAGGATGGTAATCTTATATTTCAAAGTTCTTAATGCATTTCCCAGGTTAGTACATGGTTGCAATTACATGAGAGACTGATGACCAATGGTCGTTTCATGGTGAATTGCGGTGGCATTAATGGGGGATCAGGCGCCCTGGATGTAAGTATTTATCCGGGAAATTTTTCAAGTGATGAATCATGGTTACTCAATCCAGCACTGAAAGCACTATCCAAAGCATTTCCTGGACAAGTAAGGGTTCTGTTGCTGTAGCATTGGGTTTGTTACGGTTTCTTTGCTGCTTCATGCATTACACTATAATAGTACTTCCTAAGCTGATAAGTTTTAACAATAATCTTTATATGCTATAGATAGGTAGATAGTAAATAGATACCAAGTCCTCTCTTGTGCAGAACAATTCTAAAATGAAATTTATATTGTAAAATGTATGGACACATTTTAAGTATTGTGTATGACACATTATATATTATATAAGTACACGGTTTTAATCTTTGTTCTGTTAAAGATGCATGGCACACAGAATAGTGCTGCATTTAGATGCTGATAGGATATCAAACGTTCTGTGTCTCAAAACTATTCTGTGGTGATTAAGTTGCACTGATATGAACAAGCAAACACAGATATTCTGCTATCAAATACTTGACACTTCTGGTACAATCTGGTCATGCATGATTTCAAATGTGACACTGCAATTGAAGTTCAGTGTACCTATCAATTGTATAAAATGCCAAAATTAATTTTTGGAGTTCAAATATTTTAAATTTAAAAGAGAGGTTATATTTTGCCCCATGATTAACAGTGTTATGGAAAGATTAAAAACCATGTGGGATTTCAAAATAAAAAGCAAAGCAGCAATGCTACAATTGTATTAGTCTCGTTTATTGTTGAATCATTTTGAAATTTCCAATTTAAAGTAATTATACGTTGTGTAGAAAAATGACATTTTTCTTTTAATGAATTCCTGTTGTACTGATGCTAGTTTTGACATCCAACATTTTCAGTAACTTTTTGATGTCATCTTAGAGTGCTTACAGTTTGTTTTGAATTTCTTAGCTAAGTTGGAAGAGAATGCCAAAGGAAAGTGGTCAAAACTTTATGGCACTTACAGGACCTTTGCCTGATCTGGAATCTTGGTCTGCTAGTGTTCCTTCTCCATTGAGCATAAGTGTGAAGGATTGGAGACCTTGTGAGGTGGTTTCTACTGTTTGATCTTACCATTTCATAGCTAATGCAAAAATATGTTTGTCAATTTTTTTTAAAACATTTCAAATTAGAATCCTTGTCATTTCCTTGGAGATAAAGATATGTGTATACTGTGCTTAATTGCTGTGTAGAAAGAAAATTTATAATAGGAAATTATTTTTTCTAATCAAGACAAAGCTTAGTTGTACTTTTTGTTCCTCAAGTATTATGTATGTGTGATTTGGGTCTCCATATATATATATTTTTTGAGCAAACTTAATTAATTCCTAAGGCCCCAATTTCATCTCTATTATTCTTCCATTAGATTCTAATGAAACAATTATCTGTCATGACTCATCTATTTCTTTTTTGGCATGGCATTGTTGGCTTGCAAGATATTTTTTCTGCATTTTTATTTAAATGTGGCACTTGTTAATTTATGAATTATTAAAAAATTACAAATATGCACATAAACTTGAGGGAGCTAACAAAAAATAAAACCACTGCACTTAGGGTTTTTACCATTAAAAAAAACAAATGAGGAAGAATATCAAGGAGCAAGCAAAGGGACCATGAGCGAAGAAGAATCTGAGACCCCAAAGGTATTGTTGGGGGGGGCGGGGGGAGAACTCCCTAAAAATTACATTTCAAGATTTGAATGTTCCAAAAAATGAGTTTCTTTTCAATATTTAAAAATGCATATATTTATTTGTTACAGCAGTAATCACAACTATTAACTATCTTTGATTATGGCCTGACATAAGTTTAGGGTCAATGTTGAAAAAATTGAGTCTGTTCTGTTAGTTTAATAAATATTCTTTTGTGATGTTCATTTAAAATTGTTGTCAGAAAGGTTAGTAGAATATGATTTATGATGTTAATGTTTAGGTCCTCACATGCACACCATGATGGTTGTTTCACATTTCAGCTATGGAGGAGCTGTCCAAGTTTGTACAAAGCCTGTTATACATCTTACAAATGTTTGTGGTATAAAATCCACAATAAGAATTGAATAAAGGACCAAGGCCTCTGAACTATGATATTGATACCAAAATTTGTAAATGATGTAAAGGAATACACCAATATAGATGTCAATGTGGAGCATTTAGTTGATACACCAACGGTGGTTGATGAAAAGGTTTGATTTGAATGACATTGAGGTTGACATTAAGAAGGTTTAAAGTTGTTAAATACACCAATGTGTATTTAACAAATATTAACAACAACAAAAAAAAGCAATTGTGAAATGCATGGAAAGAATGCCCATTTTGTGTAGTAAATCAAACTTCAACATATATTCTCAAGTTGACAGTTTAGTTGTATTCACACATGCAATAGGATTACAGAGAACAAGCAAGACAAAACTAGATGGCTAGTCAAGAAGTTCAAGACACCTTTGAAGCACATACCAAACATAAAGATAAATACCTTAATTGCAGAGGTTATGGTTAATTGGATGTATAAATTATCTAGATACCAAATTTAGAATTAATTCTAGGGGCTTCAAGACCTGTACAAGAATCTAAGAAGTTATGCTAAAAACTTATTAGTAATTCTAACAACACACAGTGATCATAAAAAGCAACGGAGAAAAAAATGGACATGCCTCCTTTAATGTGAATTAGGTTGACATATAGCATTTAAACATTACTTGACTTACAAGTGAACAAAATGTGTGAGGCTTTTGATAGAATTATACTTTGTACAGGATAAGCCCTTAATATCTTTAATCTTAAATTGCACGTAAGTAATAGGTTTGTGAATTAGAGATACTACATATAGACTCGCACATGCGAGTATTTTAAGTTTTTAAAACAATAATTAATAATAAATAAATAGTATAATATTTTTAATATTAAAATGATTTTAACTTTTCAAATACTATTTAGATGTGATGTGAATAAAAATAATAATGAATTAGGTAGAAAATAACTTAGACTGATATTATTACATGTTAAGTTACGCTAGTTAAATGATTAAATTGAAGAAGAAAGTAAAATAAATAAATAAATTAAATTTTTAACAGAATAATTCTCTTGGCAATTTTTTAAAGATGACTATTGTTTGTTGTTGTAAAAGAAACTTAAAAAAAAAGAAATTTAAGGAAACTGAAAGAAGTTGATAAATGTTGATGAAAGAATATGCATATCTTTTTTAAAAAGATGAGTTTGCTTTAATTATAAACAACATAAGTGAAATAAAGAGAATTAGAGGAAGATAATTAAATGGTGTCTAACCACAAGAATGAATTCATTAGAGAATGAAGATAATACATGACTTGAGAAAAAAAAAGTGAGAGTTTCAACCAAAATGTAACACCCATGTCAAATTGATGATGTGATATATTATTGTGTTATTGAAATAGGTGAGGTCTCATCCCAACTTTTATATATTATAAATATATTTGATGCTTAGATATAGGCCAACATATATCTATCTTATGATACAATTGAAGTTTAAAAAATACTCCAAATTGGTAGGGGTATGAGTTATGTCTTACTACTATTTTTAGTCTTTTTTTTAAGAAATAAAATTGAGTATTTTTTTATTTTTATTATAAGAAATAAATAATAAATCCAAGATGTATTAATTGTTAATTTTTTTTATATTCTTCTTTTATTAGTATTATTAAATATATAAACTACTAATTATACCATTTAATATTATGGGTATTTTTGAAATAAAATTTATATTTATAAAAAATACAACTAACTTAATTATTTTCTTTAATTTTGATAATTTAACCTTTTGTTTTTTATAAAAAGGTTGGGAGGTATTAGTTGAATGTGAAAAGACAATGACAAGTATGTTGTGAATTTAACTAACAAGACATGTTCTTGCCGGAATGAGATTTATCATCAATTTCTTGTTTTCATTTTGTGGCTCGCCTGAGGAATAACAACTATATTCCTGAAGATTTTGTTATTCATGAGGAATAACTATTTTTAAATAGTTAATTTTGACGGAGGATATTTTTTTGATCTTATAAGGACTACACCAAATCTTTGATGACGATAACAAATCTCTGATGGTGACCTTTTTTGAATGTTTAAGTTAAAGCATGTTAGAGGACATCCATGTGACAGCTGAAGAAATGTATGTTAAGAAGCACGAAGAATATTGAAAATTAAAGACAAGGAGGGTAAAATTATGTTCTAAAATTTTTTGAAATGATAAAAATGTAATTTTTGAAGTAATTTGATGACAATTTTTATGATTTTTTAATGTGTGCAGAAGAACGTATATTAAGAAGTTGAAAATATATATATTTATTGAAAAAGAGAACATTTATTATCTCAAAATCATGAAAAGTATTTTATGCATACTTTATGTAATAAAGATATTTAAAATATATTTAATGCTTCTTAATATGTGCCCTTGGATACACATTAGAAAAAGTTGTAAATTATAAAAAGATGTTATTAAAAATAGCCTTAAGTTCAAGATAATCATTTGATTGAAATATAGATAATATTGCCTTAGATCACTTATGAAGCATTTTAACCAACATATGAGTACTAAAGAATAAGGATATGCATAGTTCTTGAAAACCAATTATGTTTTTGTCTTTATTTACTGTGTTTATAGTCCACGATTAAGACTTGCTAAAATAAGTTTGACTCCATAAGCTTAACCAACTAAAAAGACAAGTTGGGATGAAGTTTTTACACTTGTTAACTTGTCCTATTTTAGCTTGTTAAAATGTAAGTTAATGTAGAGGCAAGACATGCTAGCTTGTTGAGTATACTTTTTATTAAAATTATTAAAAATTTATCTATTAATTATTAATATAAATTATTTGATTTAATATTATTTTTATATTTTTTGCTATTTTTCTATTTAAAAAATTTTAAATTAATTTTAAGCAAGCTATCCTGTTATATATATCTTGCTGACCATCCATTTTAACTTTTTTTTTTAATCTTTGGCAAGACATTTTGTTAGCCTATACTAGCCTACCTTTAAAATAGACTGAGCTACTGTTTTTAGCCTTTTTCTTTTTTTTTTTAAAGTGTAAGGCAAGGAGGTCACTATCTATGATTAACTAGAGATATTAAAGACAATTTGATCCATCAACATTGTATTCTTTTTTTTATTTCTATGTGAACATTGTATTCTAAAATGTTCTTTTTTTTAATGTTGCACAATGTGTAAAACCCTTAATTTAGTAGAGTGATTGATTATAACAATAACCATAAATTAAGTATGGATTTGTTGTGTGTACGATTCAGTGGCCCAAAACTTAGAAGAAATATTCTTTTAGGCAGTTTAGTGTACAAAATTAAATTTGTTGGGCTAATTCTCTTTAAATTATTTACATGGACCTTCTAAGATTTCAATTTCCAAGTCAATAAAATCTACTTATTTCTCTGGAGGTAGAGGCACTAAGAATGGATGAGGAACCTCAATGGGCCACCAAGTGAGCATGTGGTCAAAAGGAATTAGAGAAAGTTGAACCACAATTATGCATGAGCCCAAAAAAGAAATTAAATGAAATATGTATGTAAAAAAATCTAAAAAAATTATTCATTTTCATATAAATATCCTTAAGCTTGGCTAGCAAATAATTTTTTTTAACACCATTTTTCTCTCTAACTTGAGATAAAGAACAAAACTCCCTTATCTTTACTTCCCTCTCTTGGCCAGCCATGGTGGCTACTAGAAATTGTTTATTTCAGGCATTTTAATGTGGTGTTTCTTTGCTCTTGAGTAATGTAGGAGACTCTTTAAGCCATGCCAAAGCAAGAAAACTACATCTCCCACCTTCCTACTACGTACTAAAAACTGTGGACCAGCTTTTAGTGTTTGACTTAAGTTTCTACATCTCTCATTATGAGCTTTGATACCAAATCGATAAAAATTGATTTTCAGTGATAAAAATAAGGGATACCGAATCTTTGATAGAATAGAAAATGTAAGAGGAAAAAAAGAGAGGAAATATTAGAGAGGTAAAATTCTATTTTTACCATCAATACTAGACTACAAAAATGGTCTAATGCCTTAACACTAACCCCATCGCTTGCATGTTCATGTACCTTTTCACTATCCTGACTCCTTTAATAATTTCCTAATGCCAATTGTTTATTTAGTTAGTGAGATCTTTTCCAGAATAAATCTATTATAATTTTTTTATTTTTCTTAAATAAAAGCCATCTTATCTAACAATATAAGGTCTTGAGAAAAACTTTCTAAAGTGAGTGTCATATTGATGTTGGCTAAATCTCACGAAAAGAGGATTAAATTGTGACTATTAATATTTTTTTCAGTAACTAAAATTTAATTTTTTTTTGTGTTAATCTTAAATCAATAAAACTTATTAGAATGTTACTTAATATGCAGAAGTTAGTAATTAAAATTAACTTTTTATTACAATTTAATATAGTGCAAATTTAATAATGATTAACAAATTCATTTTATAGTTGGTGGTTGTTAATTACTCTTTGATGTTAAGAATTTAACTTTTTACACAATTGTGCACTTTATTTCTCATATTGTTTCAATTTCATTTGGCTTGATTTTAGCTTTTTTCTTAGTAGGTGGTTAAGCATTGTTACTTTTGCTAAGTGATTAAGCCTTACTTAATGGTTAAGTTTTTGCTTCTATTGACTTTGATGATTCTATCTTTTCCATATGGTGATTAAGTATTTGAAATTGTATTTAAATTATAATTTCTACAAGTGGTTAAGCATGAACTATAGCTTTTACTTAAGTAGTTAAGCTTTATCTATTAATTTTGATGGTTTGAGTTATTGCTTATATATTTTTCAAAAAATATATTTTCAACATTTACTATTGTATTATCCTTTAAATATATATGTATTTATTTTGTTCATTTCAAGTTGGAAGTGTTGTCAAGTGGCACTAGAGATGTAAAAGTCAATAAAAGATAAGTCAATTAGTTGACTATATAAATTTTATTATTCTTGTAATTTTTTATTATTCTATTCAATACACTTTTATCTTTCTTTTAACACTATGCCAAATTATATCCTATAAAATTCTGACTTGTAAAGTAGTTAGTAAAAAATTACACTTTAAAATGAACTTGGAGAGTGGTTAGTTGACTATGATTGATAAGATGCTTGTTCTTAAGCAAAATCACACATGGAATCTTGTTCCACTTCTTCAAAGGAAGAAGGTAGTCAGTTGTAGATGAGTATATGTTGTTAAAGTTGATTTAAATGGACTTGTTGACTGTCTTAAAGCTCGACTAGTTTTCAAAGGCTACACCTAAATCTGTGGCATTGATTATGTTGACACCTTTTCACCTATA